TTAAAGATGGGTGCGGAAATGTAAAGATGGGTGCGGAAATGTTAAAGATGGGTGCGGAAATGTAAAGATGGGTGCGGAAATGTAAAGATGGGTGCGAAATGGATGGGTGCGGAAATGTTAAAGATGAAAAAGATGGGTGCGAAATGAAAGATGGGTGCGGAAATGTAAAGATGGGTGCGGAAATGTTAAAATGTGATGGCGGAAATGTTAAAGATGGGTGCGGAAATGTAAAGATGGGTGCGAAATGTTAAAGATGGGTGCGGAAATGATGGGTGCGGAAATGTTAAAGATGGGTGCGGAAATGTTAAAGATGGGTGCGGAAATGTAAAGATGGGTGCGGAAATGTTAAAGATGGGTGCGGAAATGTTAAAGATGGGTGCGGAAATGAAAAGATGAATGCGGAAAAATATAGATGGCTGCGGCGGAAAGACGACACTACATGTGGAGTGTGCTGCCGTTGTCAGGTTAAAGTGAGAATGATAGTATGCAGAAAGTTAACAGTGAGACAGAATCGCAGAATTGAAAAACGAAGAAAAGAACAAGTTTTAAAAGTTGGGCAAGACTGAAGAGAGTGAACGTGCCTGTAAGACTGAAAGAAAATGGGATACACTTTAAGTAAGGATGAATTAGGAGGGACTGAAGAAGATTTGAGGCCGGGGGGGGGGCTAAGGGGTAGGGCTGAGCGGAGGTGTTTCAGGGTAAAAATTTGAATTAATAAACACTAGACAGGTCACAGGTCATCAAATTCAGTGTTGTGTGTTAGAAGGGAAGGTCAGATGCGTGGAAATATATCAATTGGTGTAAATTTCCACTGTTTCCTTGTGTATTTACGTATCACTTGAAGATTAGACACCCTAGCTTATTTCCCTTTGAATATTTGGCACCCTAGCTTATTTCCCCTTGAAGATTAGACACCTGGGGATTAGCCGCCCTAACGCTAACATAACGTAACCTAATTTAACATACCCTAACCTAACCTAACCGTTCTATTGCGTGAAATACAACCAAATTTCATACATACATATATACATACATACATATATACGTACATACATACACACATACACCCACACACGCGCACATACGCCTGCCTAGTTGATGAGCAGTATCGTAGGTGAAGGTAATTGTAAGGAAACGATATTTACAATCCTGACTGGAGGAAGAGATTTTGACCTGGTCCTAAATCTAGGTTTGACCTCCTCCCCCTCCCCCCTCCCCCCAGGTTAGGTTACGTTAGGTTAGGTCACGTTAGGTTAGGTCACGTATAGGTTAGGTTAAGTTAGGTTAGGTTAAGTTAGAAGTTATCGTACCATTACGTCACCACACGGTTGGTACTCACGCCTGGCTTAGCTAAGTGTTCATTAGTCAGGTATTCGATAGTCCGTATGCAAATGAGTTGCCATTAACGCCACAGTGAGAGAGAGAGAGAGAGAGAGAGAGAGAGAGAGAGAGAGAGAGAGAGAGAGAGAGAGAGAGGTCGCGTTGGGAGTCTGTTGTTGATATGTTGTGGTCATGTTGAAGTATGTTATGTGGTTTGTTTGTATCGTGTTTGAGTATGTTGTTGATATGTGGTGAGTTTGTGTTATGTTGGAGTATGTTGTTCATTGATCAATAATCTGCTCCCTCCCTCCCTTCCTATTTCGGTAAACAATAATTCTCCTTCCTATTTCACTGATTAATAATTCCCTCCCTTCCTATTTCGGTAAACAATAATTTCTTCCCTCCCTATTTCACTGATTTACCCTCCCTCCCTATTTCGGTAAACAATAATTTCCTCCTCCCTATTTCACTGATTAATAATTCCCTCCCTCCCTATTTCGGTAAACAATAATTCCCTCCCTCCCTATTTCACTGATTAATAATTCCCTCCCTCTCTATTTCGGTAAACAATAATTCCCTCCCTTCCTATTTCACTGAGTAATAATTCCCTCCCTCCCTATTTCACTGATTAATAATTCCCTCCCTCCCTATTTCGGTAAACAATAATTCCCTCCCTCCCTATTTCACTGATTAATAATTCCCTCCCTCTCTATTTCGGTAAACAATAATTCCCTCCCTTCCTATTTCACTGAGTAATAATTCCCTCCCTCCCTATTTCACTGATTAATAATTCCCTCCCTCCCTATTTCGGTAAACAATAATTCCCTCCCTCCCTATTTCACTGATTAATAATTCCCTCCCTCTCTATTTCGGTAAACAATAATTCCCTCCCTTCCTATTTCACTGAGTAATAATTCCCTCCCTCCCTATTTCACTGATTAATAATTCCCTCCCTCCCTATTTCGGTAAACAATAATTCCCTCCCTCCCTATTTCGGTAAGAGTATACAAGGACCCTCTCGTATCTCCCTATTTCGGTGACTAGTAATTTCCTCCCCTCCCTATTTCAGTGATATGTACAGTAACCTCATTATAACAAACCTCTCACACCCCCCTGCCCCCTACAGTACCTGCTACCTGTACTTGTTATATTTGTTTAGTCTTTGTAATGTGTTTGTTGCTTATATGGGCTTTGTTTTTTTTTGTTTTATTTGTGTTCTTGTTTTGGTTTGTCCGTGTTCTTGGTTGTTACTGTCCTTGTTTTCTTTGTTCTTGGTTCTTGTCCTTGTTTTCTTCGTTCTTGGTTGTCCTTGTTTCTTTGTTTTTGGTTTGTCCTTGTTCTTGGTTGATCTTGTCCTTGTTTTCTTTGTTCTTGGTTGATCTTGTCCTTGTTTTCTTTGTTCTTGGTTGATCTTGTCCTTGTTTTCTTTGTTCTTGGTTGATCTTGTCCTTGTTTTCTTTGTTCTTGGTTGATCTTGTCCTTGTTTTCTTTGTTCTTGGTTGATCTTGTCCTTGTTTTCTTTGTTCTTGGTTGATCTTGTCCTTGTTTTCTTTGTTCTTGGTTGATCTTGTCCTTGTTTTCTTTGTTCTTGGTTGATCTTGTCCTTGTTTTCTTTGTTCTTGGTTGATCTTGTCCTTGTTTTCTTTGTTCTTGGTTGATCTTGTCCTTGTCCTTGTTCTTGGTTGATCTTGTCCTTGTTTTCTTTGTTATTGGTTGACCTTGTCCTTGTGAGTGTGTTGTCAGGAAACCTCACAACAAGGCTTAGGTACAAGAAGACCCACGTCTTTTATGTACGTTAAACAAGCTACTGTACACGGTTTTAGCATCCAGTAATACGGACATGTACGCCAACACCCAGCTACTGTACACGGTTTTAGTATCCAGTAATACGCACATGTACGCTAACACCCAGCTACTGTACACGGTTTTAGTATCCAGTAATACGCACATGTACACTAACACCCAGCTACTGTACACGGTTTTAGTATCCAGTAATACGCACATGTACACCAACACCCAGCTACTGTACACGGTTTTAGTATCCAGTAATACGCACATGTACACCAACACCCAGCTACTGTACACGGTTCTAGTACACAGTAACACGCACATGTACGCTAACACCCAGCTACTGTACACGGTTTTAGTATCCAGTAATACGCACATGTACACCAACACCCAGCTACTGTACGGTTCTAGTACACAGTAACACGCACATGTACGCTAACACCCAGCTACTGTACACGGTTTTAGTATCCAGTAATACGCACATGTACACCAACACCCAGCTACTGTACACGGTTCTAGTACACTGTAACACGCACATGTACGCTAACACCCAGTTACTGTACACGGTTTTAGTATCCAGTAATACGCACATGTACACCAACACCCAGCTACTGTACACGGTTTTAGTATCCAGTAATACGCACATGTACGCTAACACCCAGCTACTGTACACGGTTTTAGTATCCAGTAATACGCACATGTACGCTAACACCCAGTTACTGTACACGGTTTTAGTATCCAGAAATACGCACATGTACACCAACACCCACCTACTGTACACGATTCTAGTACACAGTAACACGCACATGTGCACCGAAACACTAACTAAAGAACACTTACACATTAATGGATTCGTGTACGGACAGAGGACCAGGTGTAGCCAGGGGCGGCTTCTGTTGTCTGTGTAAACGGCGGAATTTCCCTTCTGTTTTCATCCGTTTCCTGTTGTAGTGTAGAAGACGGAGTGATTCTGGATGGTTTACGGTACCATACATACATACATACATACATACATACATACATACATACATATATACACACACACACACACACACACATGTATGTATTATAGAGAGAGCGAGATACCACTTTGAAGAGACAGCGGGTTTTAAGGCTGAATGTCCCATATCAACAAGCCGTTTACTGTGATTAGAGTCAAAGTTGTCAACACCGGCTTAAAACCTGCCTGGGTCAACCCTGGTCTATCCCACTGTGTATGATAACTTTAATCCACTGAGTACGATAACTTTAACCCCCTGAGTACGATAACTTTAACCCCCCTGAGTACGATAACTTTAACCCCCCTGAGTACGATAACTTTAACCCCCTTGAGTACGATAACTTTAACCCCCTTGAGTACGATAACTTTAACCCCCTGAGTACGATGACTGGTTAGGTTAGGTTACGTAGGCTGTAAGAACAAGTTAAATCCGACTTCGTATTAAGCTGGAGGCGACCCAGTTATATTGGATCATTTTTTTCCAAGCTAGACCCAACAAGCTTGCTATACCCAACAAGCTAAACCCATCAAGCTAGACCCAACAAGCTAGACCCAACAAGCAAAACCCAACAAGCTAGACCCAACAAGCTAGACTCAATAAGCTAGACCCAACAAGTTAAAACCCAATAAGCTAGACCCAACAAGTTAGACTCAATAAGCTTATACCCAACAAGCTAAACCCATCAAGCTAGACCCAAGCTAGACCCAACAAGCTAGACCAACAAGCTAGACCCAATAAGCAAAACCCAACAAGCTAGACCCAACAAGCTAGACTCCAACAAGCTAGACCTAACAAGCTAGACCTAAATAAGCTAGGACTCCAACAAGCTAGACCCAACAAGCTAGACCCAACAAGCTAGACCTCCAAATAAGCTAGACCTAAATAAGCTAGACCCAACAAGCTAGACCCAACAAGCTTGTTAGACTCCAACAAGCCATAGACCTGCAACAAGCTAGACCCAACAAGCTAGACCCAACAAGCTAGACCCAACAAGCTTTTTACGAGATGAAGATAAATAAACTGTTACCTCCACTCTGTGTCCTGGCCTTGTAACTTCCTTCTTAGCCCCTCTGTTTTCTCTTCCCTCTTCTTCTTTTTTGCCTTCTATCTTCGCCTTCCTTCTTTCCTCCCCCTCTTCTCTTCTCCCCTTTTTTCCTTCCTCTAACCCACACTCCTTCCATCTTTTCCTCTGCTTTTCTTCTTCTCCCCTGCCTCTCTCTTCCTCTGCTCCTCTCTCTCTACCCCTGCCTCTCTCTCTCCCCTGCTCCTCTTCCCCCCTGCCTCCTCTCTCTTCCCCCTGCTCCCCCTCCCCCTGCCTCTCTCTCTTCCCCTGTCTTCCTTCCCCACCTCTCTACTCCCCTGTCTTCCTTCACTCCCCTGGGCCTCTTCCCTGCCTCTTCCCCCCTGCCTCTCTCTCTCTCTTCCCCTGCTCTCCTCCCCTGCCTCTCTCTTCCCCCACCTCTTCCCCCACCTCTCTTCCCTGCTCCCCCCCCCCACCACACAACACGAGGCCAAGGTGTCTAATTTTAGCCCACCTTATTGGTTTTCATAGCGTGACGTCACATGAAAAATTTGTAAACATTGAATCTTGTGTCTGAACTTTTCTTTGGTTAGGATAGGTGTAGGTTAGGAGAGGTGTGGTTAGGTGTAGGCTAGGAGAGGTGTGGTTAGGTGTAGGATAGGAGAGGTGTAGGTTAGTGTAGGTGTGGTCAGTGTAGGCTAGGAGAGGTGTGGTTAGGTGTAGGTTAGGCTAGGTGTAGGTTAGGTGTAGGTTAGGCCAGGTTAGGTAATGTTAAGTAAGTAAATCAGGTTAGGACTGTTTGGTAAGATTAGGTCAGGTAACGATAGGACGGGTTAGGTTAGGTTAGGTTAGGTTAGGTTAGGTCAGGTTAGGTCAGGTTAGGTTAGGTTAGATTAGATTAGGTCAGGTTTGGTTAGGTTTGGTTAGGTTTGGTTAGGTTAGTTTAGGTTAGGTCAGGTCAGGTCAGGTTTGGTTAGGTTAGGTTTGGTTTGGTTAGGTTAGGTTAGGTTAGGTTAGGTCAGGTCAGGTCAGGTTTGGTTAGGTTAGGTTAGGTTTGGAAAGGCAAGGCAAGGCAAGTCAGGTGAGATCAGGTAGGGTAGACAGACATGGTGGTGCTGGCGGCGGTACACGTGACCCCTCGCTGTGAAAAACCAATAAGGTGAACTAGAATGTGTTTCTCTGTTGCGTCGTGGTGTGAAGAAGAGAAGAAAATAAAAGAAATAATAAATGCAGGTTCCCTCTCCGCCCCGCCCCGCCCCGTCTTACCCCGTCCCATCCCGCCCTGCCCCGTCCCACCCCACCCCACCCTGTCTTGCCTTGTCCCATCAGATTGCCCCGTCCCGCCCCGTTCTGCTCCGCCTCGCCTCGCTCCGCCTCACCTCTCCCCGTCCCGCCTCACCTCTCCCCATCCCGCCTCGCCCCGTTCTGTTCTCCGTGCCGTGGGAAGTTGTGTAGTAGCTATACTATGACTGTACAGTACACTAAACAAGTACCATCCTTCTTACACACGCCAACCATCCTGATTGTCATTGGACCATTTAAGTACTCTCTCTCTCTCTCTCTCTCTCTCTCTCTCTCTTCTGGCTACTCTGAACCTCTTAACTGCTTAGTCTATGTTCCCGTGTTACCGCTTAAAAGAAATCTGAGGGTGAATTATTATTATTATTATTATTATTATTATTATTAGTAGTAGTAGTAGTAGTAGTAGTATTTGAACTTTAGCTCAGTTACGAGGAAAATTAAGTTTGTTTATTTGAAAATCCAAGGTTTATTTTTTTCCCGCTATGTAGTGTCTCTCTCTAAGATTTCCCGCTTAAAGTTTCCCGCCAAAAAAAAAGATGTTGTTCTGTAGATTTTTCTAACAAAAGTTTCCCACCTTGGCAGTTCCCTCTAAAACGCCTTGAGTTTCCAACCTTAAGTTCTCACACACACACACACAGACACATACATACACACACACACACACATATACACACACACACACACATACACACACACACAGACACACACACACACACACACACACACACCTGAGAGTTGCCCGCCAAAAGTTCACACAACTAACCTACGGGAATTAAAATGCTTTCAATCTCCGACAACTTTTCATTCAGTATTAAATTCCGTGAATATTTCCTCCTTGCGAGAATTCGTCTATTTCCCTGGATGTCGGGATTAAAAGTCCCAGATATTATTACACTCAGCGACCCTCCTGTTATTAAAGCTTATGGACCAGCTTGTGAGGACAGATGTACGTAAAATTCCCCCTTATGATAGACTCACCTAAGGGTTATTATTCCAAGGTTGATTTGGAGTTTTTTGGAGGAGAGATGTAAAGTAAACTCCACCATAATGAACAGGTGAATAGGGCTATTATTCTTATTTCTTCGTCTCTGTTAGATAAGTGGGTAAATATCACCTTTATGGTTTATGTACATAGATGTCATTATTCTCCCGGTCGGTTGTTTATGGTGAAGATATAGGTGTACATCTTCGCCCTTTTGACAGAGAGATATACGTGCTATTTTTCTCTGGCTTCTTCATAAACACCAACTTGACTTTTATGACACATATACATACGTGTTATTATCCCCTGATGTAATCCTCTAAAAACCACATGCTAAACTCACCCTTATTATTATTATTATTTCGGTGACAAGAGATGTGGAAGAAGAAACGTGATGAATGAGAGAGAGAGAGAGAGAGAGAGAGAGAGAGAGAGAGAGAGAGAGAGAGAACAGTGCATTATTTAACAGTAATGCACTGTAATGCACCAAGTGTTGGCAGTAAGAGGTGCTTGGTGCTGGGGTGCTAGGGTTCATGTTGAGGCTGTCTCCGGGTTATTTAGTGAGGTAAATAATACGAGAGTAGCCCATTTACGCTACTTATAATATTTCCAGTAAAAACAACAATCAATGAAACAAGATAGAGGTAAATAAACGAACTAGTTCTGTGAAGTAATTAATATTATTCACTAGCTCTTAATCCTAGTTGGGTGTGTAATAATAATTAATAGCCATAACTGATTTCAAACCTTATTAAAACAAGCGATGTATTTATTTATTCCCGTCTGATTGATAGCCTCTGTACAGCTGTGGTATTAAAGTCTGATTGATAGCCTCTGTACAGCTGTGGTATTAAAGTCTGATTGATAGCCTCTGTACAGCTGTGGTATTAAAGTCTGATTGATAGCCTCTGTACAGCTGTAGTATAAAAGTCTGATTGATAGCCTCTGTACAGCTGTGGTATAAAAAATCTGATTGATAGCCTCTGCAACAGCTGTGGGTATAAAAGTTCGATTGATAGCCTCGCACAGCTGTGGTGTTAAAGTCTGATTGACAGCTCTCTGTACAGCTGTGGTGTTAAGTCTGATTGATAGCCCTGTACAGCTGTGGTATTAAAGTCTGATTGATAGCCTCTTGTACAGCTGTGGTATAAAAGTCTGATTGATAGCCTCTGTACAGCTGTGGTAAAGTCTGATTGATAGCCTCTGTACAGCTGTAGTATAAAAGTCTGATTGATAGCCTCTGTACAGCTGTAGTATAAAAGTCTGATTGATAGCCTCTGAACAGCTGTGGTATAAAAGTCTGATTGATAGCCTCTGTACAGCTGTGGTATTAAAGTCTGATTGATAGCCTCTGTACAGCTGTGGTATAAAAGTCTGATTGATAGCCTCTGTACAGCTGTGGTATTAAAGTCTGATTGATAGCCTCTGTACAGCTGTGGTATTAAAGTCTGATTGATAGCCTCTGTACAGCTGTGGTATAAAAGTCTGATTGATAGCCTCTGTACAGCTGTGGTGTTAAGAAGTCTGATTGATAACCTCTGTACAGCTGTGGTATTAAGTCTAGTTGACCGCCTCTGTACAGCTGTGGTATTAAAGTCTGATTGATAGCCTCTGTACAGCTGTGGTATT